CGTACGCCTCGCGCGAGTTCTTCATGCGTTCGTGACGCGCGACAAAGAGATAGGTACCAAGGCCAGCAATAAAGACGACAATAAGGCCGAGGGCACCGTAGATCCAGATTTGGGTGCGTTTGGAGACGCCAAATGTCGGGAATGGACTGGGGAGGAAGTTGTCCGACGGCCCGCTCGAGGGCGTGGCGCTCGGGCTGCTTGTCTGAGCCAGGTTAGCTTGGGTTTGGGAGGGCTTTTGGTTGACAGGGCGGTCGGGATGGTCGTCGGGAAGCGAGGTGATGGTAGGAAGGGTACCAGAAGGTAGGCCGACGCTAGTGGTGAGTGCAGGGTGATCGTCAATCTTGTCGTGATCATCGTCGTCGTGTTCATCGGGCATAGGCAGGGGTTTGGCTTTGGCGGCATCGATGCATTCGCCCCAGAGCCGGAGCTTCCAGTCTGTAAAGACACCTTTTTTGAGGTTGCCTTGCTTGACGTCCTTGACGATGACGGTCCATTCGCCAATTCCGGATTCGCCCCAGTGCGCGACAGACATGAACGTCCAGTCCTGGAATCCATGCGGTGCTTCGTCGTCGCGGCGAGCGATGGCCAGATGAGACTTCATTCCCGAGGGAGAGGTGAGTTCGACGCTCAAGTCTCCACGACGCTGGTGTTCTACGTTCATGGTGAGCGTAATGTGCTCGACACGTTCAAAGTTGGCCTTCTTCAGCATCTCTGCAGTGACTTCGAATTTGCTAGCCAGGCCATGGCCACCCTCTGGAATCTCCTTCTTTACATGCATCCATGGAGAGAAGAACCAGGCCTGAGGCTTGACCAGTTTCCAGGTCTTGGCCATTTCGACAATCGCCCATGCGTCCAGCTTGCCATAGCCGAATTGATGACTGTACATGCGGCCCAAGGCGTTCTTGGTCCAATCGCTGGGTTTATCAATGGGTACGGCGGACATGACACTGAGCCATTGCATATCGCGCCAAGTGAGCTCTGGACGAGCCTGGAGAACAAGGGCGTAAACGCCCACACCGATGGGCCCAGCAGCAGATGTGCCTCCGTGGGAGCTCGTACACTTGTTTAGACCTACATCGGTGGTATGAATGGAGTCGCCGCCGCCACTGCTATACGTCACCACGAGCTGGGCGGAGCAGGCCTCTGAGTAATACGGATGGTCGTTGTTCTTGTCGATTGCGCCCACAGTGATGCTGTAAATGCTGTTTGTGTAACCATCGAAGTTGCAGTTGTCGTCGCTGGCCGCACCATTGCCCGCGGCGAACACGTAGATGGAGCCCTTGCCGCCACGCCCCTGCTGAACGGCCGTGATCATGGCCTGCTGGATCAGAATGCCAGGCGCCGACATGGTCCTTCCATCGTCGGGAGGGCCCCATGAACACGAGTAGATGTCGTTCTTCTGCATCTCGTAATTAATGGCAAGCGCCTCATCGATATCCGTAATATCGCCAGACAGAATGCGCACGCCAGAGACTTTTGCGTCATAGGCCAGCCCTACACCACAAAAATTGTTTCTCCCCGCCGCGATTTCGCCTGCGCAGCGTGTACCGTGCCTGTCGTCTGAGAGCTTCGGTGTGGGCAAGTCGGTGTGGTCATTGTAATCGTGCGAGCCTTCGGGGAAGAAGTTGTCCTTGAGATCCATGCTGTCGTAATCCAAGCCATCGTCGACCACACAGGCCGTGACACCTTTTCCCGTGATGCCTTGCATCCATACATCGGTCACGTTGATGTCGTTGCCCGGAGTCTTGACGTTGAAGATGTGCCACTGCTCTTCGAAAATGGGATCTTGAATTTGCAGTCTGTTGGCGACCTCGCGCTGCGCTTTGATGGCGTCCGTCACAGGCGGCCCCGCTCGATCTGGGCGCGGTGGAATGACGCTTCGCTTCCAATGTCGAGGTTTGATCTTTTGCTTTTGCGCAAAGCGTACACTGTCGAGGGGGTTGTACTCGGTGCCCACTTCACGCTTCCGTCGTCGCCTCTTGAGTTCTTGCCTGGCCTCTTGTACAATATCGGTGTCGTGCTTGGGGGCCTTGAAGACGTGATAGTGTGCAAGGGCGGCCAAGGGGCCCTCGTATGTCAGGCCGAGCTGGGCGGCCAACTCGCAGGGCGACGCAGAGGGCGAGATGTGGACAGCATAGTAGTCGTGACTCGAGTAGTTGCGAGCAGGCAGGTGCTGGCCTGTTGCTGCTGTTGCTGTTGCTGGTACTGTTAGTGTGGCGGCGGACAGCAGGGTCCAAAGGTGGTGAAGACGCATGGCGAAGGCGCAACAGAGAAATAGACTAGGAGCAGCCGGCTGCAGGCATGTGTCAAGATGGAGTTGGCGAGATAGCGTGTGAATCAAGGCGAAGGTGACTGCGGGCCGTCGAGTCTTTGAGGACGTGGGAAGGCGACGGTGTTGGACCGGGGGTCGCGGTAAAGGTTAAGGGCTGTACGGAGGGTATTGAGCTTATTGAGACCGATTACGACGACTTGTCCCTTCAAGGCGGACTGGCTGTGGGGGCTCAGGGTCCGAACGGGGCTTCACAAAGCGTGCGCTGCACAAGCCGAGAGCAAGTTGAAAGAAAAGAAAGAGATCAAAGTTTATAAAAGGCGGGATGGGGGGGAGGGAGTCAGTTTTGCATGAGCAACAGGGGGTGGTGGGGGTGGTGGTGGTGGTGGTGGTGAGTGGGTGGATGGAGGAGGGAAGGTATGTAGTGTGTACTACTAGAAACAAGGTCCTGGCTCGGTGAAACGTTGCGGGTGTTTTTTTCCAACATGGGCCATAGGCAACCCGTTCACCCACTCGCGACAGCCATGCAAGCCCTAGGTAAGGCGTGCAGCCACAGTTTATACTATATTACTAGGTACTTACTGTGCAGTACTATACCATACAGTACATACCGCTAAGCCAGGGCTCAGGGCTGCCTGGCACTTGCCACCTGCTTTGCAGGATTACTGTACCGACCCGATTGTACCGTAGTAGTATATACAAGAGTAAGTTACGGGCAACTGCTTTGCCTATCATCCTAGGAAGGCGTGGCGCCCTGAGGTGGCAGTGGCAAGTGGCAGCAGTGGGCAGCAGTTGCCGCACCCGCCGGCCAATACAATACATCAAGGACAATTTGTAGCTACCGGCGCTAACCCGCATCCGAGCAACCCTGATAGGCCATGTAGCAGGCTGGTACCCTGTCGAGTCTGGCACTATGTACTCTACTATGTAGGTACTATCTAAGCCAGATTCCCATGTCACGTCCGACTCAGTCATCAAAGCAGGCGACCGGTAAGGCCGGCAGCTGCGGGTTGGAGAGGGAGACGAGCAAGGAATTACTGGTCTCATGACAGTAGACCACAGTCGGTAACAATAGGTACTGCTCGCCCTTTGCCACAAACTAGGTACTGTACAGTACCTAACATAGACTCCAGGGTAAACTACCTACTATCTACTCCAGGACCGCCGCTGCCTGCCTGTACACAAAGTTTTCTTCTTTTTCTTCTGCAGCCTTTCCGTGAAGGCTCTGCAGCGTTCAAAGTCTAACACCATACGCCCAAAGACTATGCTTTTGCACGTTAAGATAGGCTTTGATCACGGTCCTACCTGGATTATCATTACTACTCCTACGATTTACTATTAGTCTTACGCTGACTGTATATTGTTTCCATCCTGTATTTTTGCTGCCGAGTCATCAACTTGCTCGATCAGCTTAGTCACGTTACCACACACGCGCCACATACGCTTCCAGCAGTCCATTGAGCGGAGGAGGGACTGCATGTGAGGTGAACTTGGAACGGGGACTCATAGTGAGCTCCTTCACCCTCACTCACCGCCTAGTATTTTTTCTTTCTCTCTGTCTCATGCTTGATACAGCCAGGGTATAGCTACTGTTGTACTCCAAGTCGCTAATACATAAACGCACTTGACCCAGGCATGTTACATACTTGCAAGTTGTAACTCATCGTGACCAGGAACACGAGGGCGGCTTGTCTCAACTAGTAGGCAACCGTGGCGCCTGCCGTTCCACGATCTCGTCCCCTTCCCAAGTTCCCCTCCCCCCTCCCCAGCCCCCAGCCACACATCCACCCTCTCACCCACTCACACACACAAATCCTCTCTTCGACATGGGCCAGCCCAGCTTCCCGTCCCGCCATCCTAATTTCCATCCCACTGTACTGGCAATGGATATCATCAGCTACGTCCCTGCTCCCGCTCCTTAGTAGGCTCTGTCTCCCTTGTACATAGACACTGACGTCTGTTTGTTTTTTTCGCGTGCTTCACTTGTTGGTCGCCCACTCTTCTTCTATTTTCTTCTTCCTTCTCGCCATCTGTACTTCAACCCGACATTCGGCGGCGCATGCTTTGTACACCCCAGCACAATCGCCTCCGCATCTCCGCACCCGCCTCCTTCTTAGGTAGCTACCTCGAATGGCACCAATTGAGATTTCATCTAAGATCTGATGTGACAGTGCGACGCTCATTCATATACTAACCCCACCCGTCCTTCGTCCCACTTACCTCCAGACGGTGGTAGGTTGCGACAACCAGCGCTACACCCTCATGTCTGCGTCGCAAGATGGATGATACCAGGGACAGTGTCGCCCACGCCTCAAGGCCCGTTAACGTTTCTCTCCTCTACGAGCCCGACGAATCTTCGCAGAAGCGTAACAGCTACCGCCGCCACTCCATGAATGCGCAATCGCCCGAATCGTCGCAAGCCATGTCCGCCATGTTCAACGCCAGCAACATGCCCAGCAATACTGCGCGCCCCGTCATCACCGCACAAGGTGCCTCTGGCGTCGCCCGCGCATCTTCATCACATAGACGGCGACAGAGCCAACAGGTATCCCCACCGACAGCCGCTGCACTCGACAAGCCCCCTTCCCCAGCGCCAGAAGTGCCACGCGCACCACCCTCGTCCTACAA